CAGGGCTGTGTCTCCACTCAGACTGGGGCTCCCTGAGGGCAGGGCTGTGTCTGCCCCTTACAGATTGGGCTCCGGGATTTCTGGGCAGGAGGGGTATAGGGGAGGACTTGTCTTGAACCTGACTTTCATAGCATACAGCATTGCTTTCCTGGTGCGGCTGGAAAGGGGCTGCTGACCTGGCTGCTCTGCTCTTTCTCACCCTGGCTCTCACCCCATGCCTAACTTAGGGCTTTGCCCACAGGTGTGTCATAGTTTGGGACCATGGATCTGGGGTGAGGGAGGGAGGAGGTGGGGAAGGTGTGGATCAGAAGGACCTGTCCCTTTGGTGGCTGTGCTGGGATCAGCACTGGAGGCTCCCACCCCGCTGCTCCCTTTCTGGCCTGGCCCCCTGGGAGTCAGGACCGCCCAGCTGAGCCATCCAGAGGCACACTGAGCAGAGAGCTGGACCCTGCCCCTTGCCCGGAGGACCAGCTGGGAGATGGGCTCCATTTGAGGATGTATGGAGGGGCAGAGCGCACGGCGGCCCCCAGCACTGCCTAGGACCAGATGCTTCTCACCTGCCCACGCCTCGCCAGTGCCAGCGGGAGCTGGGTCATATGATGGGAGTGAGGCGGCAGGTGTAATAGAAGCGGACATCCTCCTCGGCCTGCCCTGTGACTATGTTAGGTTCTGTACCTGGTCTTCCCTCTCCCCCGCCCCAGGACTTTCCCTCCTCCCCCAGGAATCCTGCTCTGCAGATTCAGGAGTCATTCCTCTCCCCCATCCCCACTGCCCTAGGAAGGGGGCAGGAGCCTAATGAGGTCAGAGCCAGTGGGTGGGGGAGCCAAGGCAGTAAATTGAGGCCTTGGGTGCTAATTAGTGGCGGAAGGAAGTGCCTAGGTGGGAGGCCGCCTGCTGCTGTGGCCTTAGTGCCCCTTGCACTCAGTCGTCCCCCCACCGCCGCCCACACACATCACCCGGGGTTCACAGGGCACGCACAGAACACCCTCGCAGGCAGCCGAGACATGGTTTACACTCCTCCAGGCCTACCACATGTACCCGTGCACGTGTGCACCGCCCGGAACCCGTTATCACCCTCATAGCCCTGTTCAGGAGCTCACGTCTGCACACCCATCCACGCATGCAGGCGCCCTCACTGGTGGCCCTCTGCACTCACGTACAAACCACCTATCCCTGTTTGCCATTTCTCTTAAGCCCCAGAGTCTGTGGCTGAA